TAACAATATAATATAATATGTAATGCGTTTATTCAACGACATGCATCAATGCATATAGAATATTATTATATTTACGGTTTCGGATAACCGCTTTATTATAATATCGGAACGTGAAGCGTATATAGCCGACATTTTAAGAAAAGTCAGAACTGTCTTTTGAATGCGATCACATAAGCGTAAAATATTCTATAATGGTGCCGTTTTCAAATGTATATAATACCTTTGCAGGTATGTACCTACAACAAAATGTTACTGCAATATTATTATGCTATGGTGAGCATTTATATATTTATTTTAATGGGTAAAATGTTATAAAATACTTTGTCCGTTTATCTCGTTTCCGAGGATTTCGTCTAAGATGACATATAACTTATAACTGAAGCTATATATACCTCCTATCCGGAAAAGATCGACATTTCGTCTATTTATTTTTATTTATTTACTATTATTAAGTACTTACCTTCTATAGTTAACTCCAATCGGCTAAAAACAATATCGGTAACTTTAATACAGTATTGAGACTAACAATTTATTACTCGTGTAAAAATATTAAATGTAGATATAAGTTAAATCATCGATAAACCGTAGGCACGATGAATTAAGTCCAATCATACTGTCGTCCATTAATAGTAATTTTCGTCAAATTGTAATTCAGTGTACCATTTGTTTAGTCCAATATTGACTTTCGTTCAATCAATATTGTCCAAATATTAAGACCATTTGTTACATATTATATATCTACTACCGTTAAATAATATATGAATCCGTATTATATTTTATAATTTAACGAACTACTTTTGTTAAAATATTTACATTAAAATTAAATTAATAATGTACCTATAAATGTATAGGTACCTAGAATTACTAGTTATTCCAAATAATTTCCGATTGAGAATATTTAAGTACCTACCTATATGCACATAATTAACTAGTTACATAAGGGTAAATACTATTAAATATACAATTATTATTTTGGTGTTAAAAAGTATTGATCAGAAATATTAATAATATATTTTAGACTTGATATATTCTTACTTTTAGGTTAGGTTCGGGTAATCGGGTATCTTACATTTAAACAAAAAGGAAATTTGAACAAAATTAAAGATGCATACAATTTTTTTTACATTTCAGTATATAAATACCTTTTTTTTTTGTGTAGTATCGAAACTGAGGTATGAATCACTATACTTCTACCTCGATTGCATCGTTTATTGAACAATAATAGTAATTAATAGTAACAAAACAATTATTCAAAATACAAGTCACGAATATATTATAAATACTAATCTTATATATAAAAATGGAGACAAAAAATTTGAAATTGCATCAGTTGAGAACGGCTGGGCCGATTTTGCTCAAATTTTTTTTAAATGATAGAGAATGTCGGGGAGCGGGTTTATAGCATAAATTATGGACCTAACTCATGCGAGTTAGAGATTTAGAGACAAAAACTGAGTTACACCGGTGGCGCCCTCTAGCAGATAAAAATAAAAATATAAATATAATATAAATAATAATAATAATTGAAAGTGTTTGTAAGCGAACTCCTCCTAAACGGCTTCACCGATTTTTATGAAATTTTTTGTGTGTGCTTGATTGCGCCCTTGAATGGTTTAGATTCATAATCGGACCCGGTAGGCCTATTTCGGGGAGGTGCTCAAACGGGAATGTTGAGATTTACGGTGGATATTTTTGTTTATAAATGGTTGCCATGGGTTTTAAAGCTATAATAATAATAATTATTCGTTGCCGTCATTCGTTAACACCATACACCGAATGTTAAATAACTAAATAACGAATTGAACAAAGTTTGAGTCATATAGAATTTGTACATTTAACGGGAAACGAAGTGCACGGGATCAGCTAGTATAATATATAAGTGGTGATGGCCAGAGCTATCATTTCATAATAAAGAATATATTTAAAACAATAACTGTATAGCTATATATATTATATGCTCTCTCCACGAGTTGACTCGCACGCTCTTCATCTTCCTTGACGGACAGAGGACATCTACTAACTTATGTCCGTGGGAATGTCCGAAAACACAGGTCCACAGAGTAAATCTGGCATATCGTCTGCGGACTGCGGTCAAAGGACGCGTGTGCATCAGCCCTCACTTTGTCAAACTTCGAGGGCAGCATTATTGGAACAAAGTGTGCTCAGCACTGTCCGAGGTGCTGGGGCAATAGTATATGAATAGGTACCTACATGAAAATATAAACAATATAAAAAAATACAACAGATATATTTTCTGTATAAAATAATTTTGTTTACAATATTCAAATATAGTTAAATTTTTTTTAGATCCTGAGCGGAGCGAGGGATCTGGTGGTTTGCAATGGTGTTTATTTTATTTTTTTATTTTTTATATCCTGTATACAAAATTTCTACAAGAAGGAGTTCTTCGATTTAAACGTATAGTATCTTATTTTTTAGCAAGTTGAATCAAGATGGTACTTTAAAGATGTCATTTTTCGATTTTCTCAAAATAGTTATTTAATACTATGGGAAAAATCATCGACAAATTACAAAAAACCGCTAAAAATGGGATTTTAATTTTAACGCTTTGTCTATCACCATGGAGACGAATAAAAATAAAAATAATTGGTTGTATTGGTTATTTGGTTGTAATTAGGTCCATGTCCCCGGCACCCCCCATTGCGAATTTTGGGTCCGAACCCGGGGTGATCGTTAGTGCTTATTTTATCTAATATTAGAGTACCTACGTATAAATAATAATGATTCATAAATATTTTAGAACGGCGCATTGTATATGCAATTTTCAAACAAGCATCAGAAAAGCGAACTCATTATGATATTATTTTTTTATACCTAATTCAAAATGGATGTCAATGACTTATGATTAAGCAATCGTGCGGTATTAAATAAATAATTAATATCACGTACTTAGAATTAATTAAATTTCAGTTAGAATGAATTTCGTAATAACATGATATGATTATAATCAGGACTCGGGACTTATAGCACTTAAAATCATTAAAATAAGCTCTTAAAAACATCATTATAAGCACTCAAATAAGCATTTAAAAAACTTAAATTTAAGCAAAAATATTTTAAAAAACTTTCCTTTTACATTATAAAGTAGGTACTATAGACATAATTTGTATAACTGTGCTAAAAATAGTGATTAGGAAAGTTTCTAACTAAAAAATAAAAATAAATAAATAAATATTTAAATTATAAAAAAAATTAAACTTCACGTCTTTCGAGACAATTTGCATTATTATTTATAGATTTTCCGAGGAATTTTTTGAAAATTAAAATGTAAACGATATTTACAAATATAGTTGCAAAAAAAAAAATACATAATTAAATCTTACCGTCATTATTTGCATTAAATGATTTAATTTTAATTTCGAAAACAACTTAAGTTTGCAAATTTGCAGTAAAGAACCATAAAAAAAAGTAGAAAAACTGGTCAAAAAAGCAAAAATAAACAGAAAAACTGTAAAAGATTTTTTTGAAAAATCAATGAAAAAAGCACTTTCAAATTTCATAATTTAACTTTTCGTAACACGACATACACTTCCATAGCACACTGCTACATTTTAAGTCAATAAATAAAAATAAGCAAATGCCCGAGCCCTGATTATAATACTTGAATTTAAATTAAAGGGTTACCGAATGCCTATTTTGTAATACACTATATTATAAGTTATTACCATGAAAATTAATAATGGTGTATGATTATGATATTTTGAAAACCTGAAATTTACAAGAAAATGGATATATACTGGAGAAAATATTTTGATAAATTGTATTTTTATACAATATCACGTTGTTGATGTAATAATGTACCCACACCAACTATAAAACACAATGTTATATTATATTTTACAAAATATAATTTTTCTGAAAGTTTTATTGAAATTTTTACAGAAAATAATACATCGTTGGGGTCAAGCAGAAAAAGGTATTCACGTGTCGGTTAATAGAACTCACTTGAAAAGGTTTCATTAGTGGGCAGATAATAAGAATCAAGTGATGATTCTTTAAACGTTGTAAGGCCGATTTCGTTTAAAACTGTGTTAAACCACTATAAAATTGACAGTCGTTTGAAAGCGTTCAATTGAGTTAGCTAAATTTTATTTTGACAGCATAATCATACAAAAGCGAAATATAAATGTGTGGCAGCATGAGTACAATAACTAAAAGTATCAGATATAATAGAGTAGATACGCACAAAAATAGTGTTGGAATATTTTTTTTAACCTGTGCGGGTTCAAAAAATTAGGTAGTACGTATTATCGTTTGTATTCTTCTGTGAAATTATCTCAACAAGTAAAACGCTTATGAATAGATAGCTAAATATTTTTATACACGTTAGCTACCTACAGAAAAATGTGTTATAATTTATAATATTATATTCAATTATCTTTTAGAAATCAGTAAATTTCCAGGACTCTGTAGTACACCTGCAAGATATTCTATAATAAATGTATATATATACCAGGTTTTATTTTTTAAATAACATATTATACATAATATGATCGATATCTGGACGATTAATCAGTGACGTGGTGAGTCGTTATGTTTAGACCGAGCCTGAACGTGACGCCGATCGTGTTTTTCGGGTATCACGACTCCGCGACGTCGTCGGTGGTCTCAGCATCGTCGGTGGTGTAATCATCGTCATCATGGTCGCCGCCGGCTGCCCCTTCGCCCCTTCCTTCTACTCCTCCTCCTCTTCCGGGATGTCTCGTCGACCGTTGACGATTCGTAGTCGTCATTTTCGTCTTCCTCGGTATCTGTGGTCATGATGTCTTCGTCTACACCGACACCACTATGTCTCCTTCCACGTCGGTGACCGTACTAACTACGGCTCTTCGACCTACGTCGGTGGCGGCCCATACGCGTTCGGCGAGAGCGTCTCTCACGCCGCTAATGCCATTGGTTGATCGGCTGCCACCACGGCCATCCAAGGCGTATAGGTAGTATATTTTAGTTTTTACCAGTGCCGCTCTTCTTAAATTATTATGCCTATCGTAAGACCAACTGTTAACACAATTATGGCCGGCAAACGAGTCACTGAAAAGCGACCTGCGTTGAGAAGACGCGAAAACATTCCAAGCATTCCAACCTACGCCTTGGATGGCAGTGGTGGCAGCCGATCAACCAATGGCATTAGCGGAGTGGTAGCATTGAATAATGTCAGTAATGGACGGAGGAGGTGTATGCGATTATTTAGAGATTGAACTTTGTTTTAAATGGGTGGTAGGCGGTAGCCTGGTAAGACGACGGTCGATATGAACACCTGAAAGGTAACGTACACGTTGATCTATAGGTAAAGTTGATAGGGTTGATTTTTAATAATAAACAACTAATTGTATTAAATAAAACAATGTTTGTTAAATTATTTCACTAACATTCTTATTCAATTACAGACAAAATTACTTAATATTTTTACTATTCATACTAATTTAAAAAAAATGATTCTTAACAACTATAAAAAATAAATTAACTTCAACTAAATTGTAATCCAAATAAAATATTTGGACTTCAAATATTTATGGCACTCGACGGTCGGTGAAAAGCTTGCGACGCAAGACGACGGTGTAATTGTTCGTCGCCGCCTGATAATTTTATACAATAAACAGTAACGACGGTAACGACAAGTACCAATTCATACGCATTTTTAGGACGTATGATCCTTTTCAATGAAAATCTGATTTCTAGTTCATCTCTCTCAAACCTAAAACAATATAACCGCTAATTACGAACGGCGGACAACAACGGAAAGCGGCCTATTCGAGTGGAGCGTTCACACCTCACAATCGCAAAAATCGTGAAAATCACACTGATATAATAAACAGCAGCGTCCGGATTGAAGGTGCGTGGAGGGAGTTTCAAAGAAAGATTTCGAGGTTGAAATGTACTCTGCGGGTATCACTATAGTATCTATGAGCGTTTTCGTCGTCGGGTCGTACATAATGGGCGAAAAGCAGTTAACGACAGCCGCGCTCGCGTAACAAGGGCGTATACGTATTATATAGCCTCCACCGTTGTATTATTTATCGAAACCGGCGAGTTTAATATCTCTACCTCCATCACCGACTTCCATCCCTTTCCACGCGCGTGTGTATATATATATAAAATATGTTTAGTCGTCTCCTCTCTTTTTATACGACAAACGCTCTGTATTCCCCTCTCTCTCTCTCTCACTCTCTCTCCGTATAATATATATATATACCACACCGCTCACCGGTAGTCCCCCGACGCCAATCTCATTCATATTTTAAACGGCTTGTACAACCTTAACGGTTTTCTCGTTATCATCACGCGCGCGCTTTATGTAATATATATACACACACACACACACAATAACACGCGTATATCTCCACCACCCGACCGTATTCTTCTATATACATATATATTTAGTACTCCAAAGTTACACATATATTGTGTGTGTGTGGGGGGGGGGGGTGAAGGGTGATGGTAAGAGCCCGTGTAACAATGTGTCACAAAACGAGCGCGCGCCCCAACCGAAATAGGAATATGAATAATAAATTTCGTCTGCCGCCACCGCCGCCGCCGCGTTGCACAAATGGATATTTAGAGCGATATATTTATATTCGTTTAGCGCCGAGCGAGGTATTATATAATAATATATAGGTACCATATTATTACTATACACTGCAGCAGTCTCGAGTATATAATAATAATATTACTGTCGCTTAAGAATATAGTACCCACGGTGGCTAGGATGACTATATAATAATATATAATACCTATATGGTATAGGTACAACAGCTGTCGGCAAACCGTTTGCAGCGGATATCATCGCGAATTTTTTGTTTTCGCATTATTTACGAGCGCGTCACATTATAATATTAATATAATGTTTTTTTTATTATCATTATCGTCACTGTATACACAGTCATCATCGTCGTCGACGTAGTCATTCGTCGAGGGGTTTCCGAAAAAAAAACTGACTTTTGCGTGGCGGTATCATTATACACTATATACCTACCTATGTTACGGGACAATAATATTATAACATTACCGTGTGATGCTTTTATATGCTCGAGAGTCATAATATATATATTTACATCACACTCTCGAGAATTTATTTCCTCCGCGAATCACCGCCACGACCAGGACTGTGAATTATTTTTTTCGGGAAAGCAAACGGGATGGCGATGTTTCATAATGTTATTTGGACGACGACAGTTGTACCTACGGTGTCGTACCTATGTTGTTTTATTTCTGCTAAGGCGTGAAACCGTATACGTTTTGATATCAGCTGCAATAACGGTGCCAGTATACCGCATTATAACATATTCTATCCATCGTTATATTTCCATAATTTATAGGACAATATACTTTTGAACTGTTTTAGATCCTCAGTGGAGCTACCGAAGTATGAATTGGTTTTACAATGATATTGTGTGTGTGTGTGTGTGTGTGTGTGTGTGTGTGTGTGTGTGTGTGTGTGTGTGTGTGTATGTCAGCGTCGGATTACCCTGCAGGCGGAGTAAGGTGATTGTAGAGGCAAACTTTTAGGGGCGGTAAAATCATAAATTCTTCCCGATAATCGACATATCGTCAATATTGATAATATCGTAGAAAAATTATCGATGTATCGTTGCCATCATGTTGCATAGAGTAACTCTATATTACGCTATATCATGCTGCTATCGAAATCTAGCTACTATATATTGCGTTTATCGACAACGCAGAATACTTTTAATAATGCTTATTATTCTAGGAAAAATATAAATCGTAAGAAATCCATATTTATGTTTTATTTATTATAGCTGTATCACACGAATCATAAAGACTGGTAGCAGTAAATAAATGCTACTTTGGACTAGTGACCCTTTTCAAATCAAAGATGCTATCACGGAGAACAAAATTAACTTTGTACAAAGTTCTGGTGAGACGAGTGCGGTTGCACTTTACGGCTGTGTCGCATTTGCAGCAACAAAGACAGATGAAAATAGGCAAAAGCTACCTTTGAAAGAAAGATCCTTAGAATATTATATTCGAGCCAAAAAGAAACGTCTTAGAAGAATTTTAAATAAGAACGAACCGAGAAGTAGAACAGCTGTATGGCGAAACAAATATAATTGGAGTCCTTAAAAGTAGTAGGCTGGGGTGGGCTGGACACGTATGGAGGTCCAAACGCCCTATAAGGTTGGTACAAGTTGGAAACCAGACACAAGAAGGCCGAGAAGACGACCTAGACAACGGTGGAAAGACTGGATTACAAAAGATGCATTGAGTTTGGGAGTAAACGACTTAGAAGAATTAGCTCAAGATAGAGATAGATGGAGGTAAGTGGTTGTTGCGGCAATGGACTTACATGACCCTTAAAAGCCAATAAAGAAGAAGAAGAATTAGTATCATACGATTTCGCCCCGCAAAAAAATATGAACACACTTAAAATGCGGTGCTACGTATGTCGATATTAGATAATGTCATAAAGACAATACATTTTAACTAATCGTTATAGACTATAGTTTAATTTATAATATAATTCAGTTATATAAAAATAAAGAGATCGATTTTTTCCATACAACTCTCGTGTATTTAATATTAAAACTATGTACGTAACAAAATGTATATTAATGTGTAGTTTATAATTTTGGCAGTCTTTATCTACGACAGAGTGCGTAAACGATTATAATATAATTGGTTCATGTACATTTCTCGCAAACAATAGACATTAAAGGTATATTTCAGACACAAAAACGGATTACAGTTCTGTTACTGAAATGACGAATAAAATCCTGGCTTCTTAAACAACAGGATTTGAATTTTTTTTAGTAACAATACAAATTGGAAATAATAGATCACTCGGAAGAGCATTTGGAATAACTATGTGAAAGAAAATCGTTAAATTATTTAAATTACTTGTTAAAAAACCGTAGCATTTAAATACAATACACCGTCTTCCCTCCCCCACAGACAAAAAAAATGAAAAACCCGATGACGTGGTGACACTCAGAAAAGTATTTAAAACAACTCTGAGAAAAAAAATTGGAAAGTTCAATAGTATCGTTGGAAAATTGTTACATTTACTAAAGGCCTGTTCTTTTATAATATAATATATTCATATATTATAAGGATAATTATAATTATATTTTTTAGAAATGAATAAAATATAATATAATGTCATAACGATAGAAAATAATCGATGCTTCATAATATAAATTACATAATACTATGTGATTTGAATAATAAATTAAGTACACTTATCTACAATAAATAATCTATTTATTTTGTAAATGTGTAATATACTGTTCATATAATGTGTTGTTCATAATCATTTGTTTTTAGGCGACAAAAGTGGTCAAAAACAAGAATAAAAATATAAAAATAATTGCTTCGAGTTTTGTTACAAAAATTCATCAGAATTTAAACAAACTTAAAAATAAACTTCATTAATTACACGTCGAATAAGGCCAACGGATACGATCTGCGAGCTAATATATAATATATAGAATTACTTTTGCTTGAAGCAAGAATTATAAAAGTAACTGAAAATATTTTAACGAAATGACGGTAGAAATGATTTTTGTTTCCCTGATAACAATCCAATTTAGCGGAGTATATATCGCCCCCCCCCCCCCCCCCGAAAAATAAGGGAACGCGCCCTTCGCACCAATCTATATTATTTAACTTATCGGTTACCTACCGCTGGACCCTGCAAACTATAGGCGTCTCCGTAGGCTGGTGATTTCGTCGACGTATCTTTATAGACTCGACCGTGCCAAACTGTACTGCAATGTTTGTCATCGATCCTGCTCGGCCTTAAGACTGCATCGCGGCTTGTCTGCAGCACTTCTGTTTCGACCGGACGAACTTCTGGCATAGGTAGACGGATTCGTTCTCTCAAACTTCCGCAGAGACAGGTTTACCAATGCAATATAGTAGCGGACTTGCATAATTCGCTACGACTTCGCGGTCGGGTTTGCAGGCAGCTCGAAAGCCTCGACCGAATCGTTTTGCGTCGTCGACGAGTCAACGGACGGTGATGGATCTCTGTCGAAACGTGAAACTCCGCGTGGAGGCGGCGGAAGTCGTCTGCACAGCCATATTATAGGCATCACAGCAATTTTTTTTTTATGTTCGTAACCAAATCAGATTTTTACTGAAAAAAAACGGAAAAAGTTTCCCGAAAAATTGGAAATTCGGGAAAAACTCAAAGGGCCTTTGTCCGTGGTATTTTTGTAAATACTTAGGTAAATTG